ACCCAAGCTCTCGGTCACTACTACGCGACACGCCAGCCAGCCGGCCTGCTCGCCCTCTACGTCGTCGCCTTCGCCGCTGCGCTTTGTTGAAGATGATGAAGATGAAGTTGTTACTGATGAGGCTGAGGTAGAGGATGATGAAGTGCTGAAGGCTTGCTTCTGTCGTTCGGTGTGAAGTTCGAACTCGCGCTTGTGCGTGCGTTCCCATTCGTCGTCGTTGCCACCGAACATGTCGGCACCCCCCTTGTCGCCATCTCCATCTTCAGCACCAGCATCGACCAGATTGGCGGTGGGTGCATGAAGGAGGGAGGAGAGGGTGAGCAATTCGGTGAGTTCTGCCTTGGCCCGCAGCAGGTCAGCGTCGGCCGGGTGCGTCAGCAGCGCGGCCTCGACCGCTTCCAGTTGCTCGAGGGCGACCAGCAGCTCCGCCTCCATGGTCTTTGTGATTTCTTGAACTTTTTCTACCTGCTCTTTTTGGTTTCTCTCACACAAATCACGTAAAATTGCAATTTAATGTGGAATGCACAAGACTGCGGTCCTTCACCTGAAGCAATCAGCAAGGACTGCCTTGAGCTTGACCATGTGCCAATCAAGAACTGGTGCTTGGCCCAGATCTTGGCAATTGACCTTGCTGTTTGTGAAGGAGAACAAGCTGTCACCTTGACATGGTAATGCTGTTTATACTGTGTGAGCCCAGGTTGTGGAGCTTGATGCAGAGGAGATCTACATGGCTCTACATGTGCTTACACCACGTTCACAACTCACCTACACCTCACAAACTCCACCTTCACACCTTTGCACACCTTTTTTGCACCTCCACACCTCTACGGCGGTCATTCATTTCCTCTTTCAAACAAAGACTAAAGACAGATCTCGTGGTTGGTTGAGGCTTAGTGCGAGTGGACCACTTGAAGCTTCCTCTTTTTGACTGTACAAACAAGCTGTCGGTCTGATTCATGAATCTTCGGACTCACCATCGCTCATGCCTTTCAAGGGAGAGGGTGGGGGAGTAGAGAGAAGAAGCCGCTCAGTCAGCACGAACTGCGGAGCAGAAGATAACATGAAGTGAGTGATGGCCAGTACCTTGGAAGTTGACGAGGAGATTGAAGTTGGTGTCAGGGTTCAACAAGAAGTCGCGAGCTTCCACCATGAGGCTGAACAGGGTGCCGTTCCGCATGTTGGCTTTGTCCGGGTGGAGGAACGGGCTGATCGCGCGGTAGCGCCTGTTGACTGCCTCTTTCTTCGCCGCATCCAGGACGTCGCTGGGGTCCAGGCCGAGCAGCTCGAACGCGTCGGCCCGCATACGCTGCAGCAGGGCGCGCTTCTCGAGAAAGCGGACCCCGCTGCGGACGAGCTTGTCCA